GCGCACCGACACTTCCCTGCCGCCGTTCTACATCCTCGTATATGTCGACGACTTGGTTTTTGCCACTGCTGACACTGAGGCTCTCGCCCACGTGAAGTCGGAGCTGCAGAAGAGACACACGTGCACAGACTTGGGTGAGCTGCGCAGCTACCTTGGCTTGCAGATCACCCGAGACAGAGCACGTCGCACCATCACCTTGACTCAGTCACACATGGTGCAGCAGGTCCTTCAGCGCTTCGGCTTCACCTGGTCTTCAGCACAGGCCACTCCTCTGGCTACAGGTCACACGCTCTCAGCTCCACCTTCGGACGAGTCCGTAGAGCCGAGTGGTCCTTACCCAGAGCTAGTCGGCTGCCTCATGTACCTGATGACTTGCACTCGACCTGACCTCGCATACCCTCTTGGTCTCCTGGCTCGCTACGTGGCTCCTGGTCGGCACCGACCTGAGCACATGGCTGCTGCTAAGAGGGTACTGCGTTACTTGTGCAGCACATCAGGCATGGGGCTAGTGCTTGGAGGGACGAGCCCAGTTGTCCTCACTGGGCACTCAGACGCTTCTTGGGTTGACGACCTGGCTACTCAGCGGTCGTCACAGGGTTACACCTTCAGCCTTGGCTCTGGTTCAGTTTCGTGGCGTTCTACACGCTCGACTTCAGTTCTCGGCTCCAGTTGTGAGGCTGAGATCTACGCCACCGCCATGGCTGCACAGGAGTTACGCTGGCTCACCTACCTGCTGACTGACTTGGGAGAGCAGCCTCGTTCTCCTCCAGTGCTGTACGTTGACAACAAGGCCGCCATTGCCTTATGTGAGGAGCACAGACTGGAGCACAGAACGAAGCACATTGCTCTGCGGTACTTCCTGGCTCGAGAGTTGCAGCAGCGAGGCCAGCTTCGTCTTCGCCACGTGGCCACTCGGGCCAACACTGCTGACATATTCACCAAGGCACTTCCGTCTGGTGATCATCAGCGCTTTTGTACTCTGTTAGGCCTTGTGCCTACGTTTCCACACTTGCTGTAGTCTCTGCTTGTACTGTGATCTGTACATATATATATATATGCATGCTGGCTCTTGCTAGGTAGCCATCACTGTACTGTTATTGCTGCATATATATCTCTGCATGTGAACTGGCCTTGTGGCCCTTTGCTTGTGCTCAGAATGCGTGGTGACGTTGTGATCCACCCTGAGCTTGTTTTGCTTCTCTTGACTGGTCGTGTGACCCCTTGTTCTCCCCCACTTTGCCTATGGGGGTGTGTCAAACTATATGTGCTGCATATTGTCTAGGCTGTAGTGGGGTAGCCCATATGGGGTACAACCTAGTTAGGGTTTACTACTTGTACTCCTGCATCCTGTTAGTTCATCCATTCCTGCTGCTAGATTCTAACAGAAGGCAGAGAAGTGAGGAAGGTGAGAGGAGAGGAGAGAAGAGGAGAGGAGAGGAGAGGAGGTGGGGGGCCAGGACCGGCGGACCCGCTTACGAACCTCCTTTTACAAAGGGGAGGTGAGAGAGGGAAGGGAGAGGAGGTGGGCTAGGCGGGCTTGAGCGCGAAAGCTCATAGCGATCCCCCCCCGTTAAGAACCCCCAAGTCCCGATGAGGAGAGGAGGTGGGCTAGGCGGGCATGAGCGCGCACGCTCAATGCGATCCCCCCCCGTTAAGAACCCCCTAGTCCTCACCCCCCTCGTCACTCAACCCCGTCAACCTCACACCTTCCGCACCTGTCTTCTCCCGCCACCCCCTCACCCTTCTGCACTTCTCTCCCCCCCCCCCCCCTACAGCAACAGTTGCTGCAGGGAGAGAGGAAGAGGGAAGGGAGGGATGGCAGGCTCCTCACACCCGCCGCACCTGTCTTCTCCCGCCACCCCCTCACCCTTCTGCACTTCTCTCCCCCCCCCCCCTACAGCAACAGTTGCTGCAGGGAGAGAGGAAGAGGGAAGGGAGGGAGGAGTGGCAGGCTCCTCACACCCGGCCCCCCCCCACAACCCCTTCCCCCTCCCTCCCCCCTCCCCTCGACGAAAGCCGCGGAAGGGAGGGCGGGGGGGGGGGGGGGGGCGGCGGTAGCTGCTGCTGGCGCTGGCGGCTGGCCGCGGCGCTGGCCTCCGCGCTGGCGGATTGCGGGGTGACGGGGGCGACGAAACGGGGGCCGCGTGGCGACGAAATGGGGGCCGCGTGGCGACGAAACGGGGGGGCAGCGGGCGACGGGCAGGGCGTCCGCGGGGCAGCCGACGGGGCGTCCGCGAGGCAGCCGACGGGGCGTCCGCGAGGCAGCCGACGTGGCACGTTCGGGGGGACGGGCAGGGCGCGCGCGACGGGCGAACGGGGAGAAAAAAAAAATAGCGCATTTCACGATGTAGTACGGGCGGGCCCATGATTCTTAAAAAAAAAGAGAAGGTTCCGGGAAAGAACCAGCTCTGTACCATGTCAAGATAGTAGCTAGAGGTGAGGAGCCATGCTAGGGTGAAGAGGAGAAAGTGTCGAGAGAGTTTAGGCAAGGAAAAAGGGGTTTCACTATAGCACACAAGGTACATATAGCAAAGCAACAAAGAAGGTGCACCACCAACTCTTAATAATAATAACTACAGTACCTACAGCACGCAGGGTATATATTAAACATATTGTTTGACAGAAAGAACCAGAATATGAAAAAGAAATATAGAAGTCGAAAGAAAAGGGAAATGGGAAGAGGTGGAAAGAAGTAGTGAGGAGAGAACAAAGTTGCTGTACATAACTCATGAAGATTGGTAAGAAGATTGAAAAAAATAACGGAATAGAACGAAGGACGGTTAACGTAGGAAAACACTAACTTCGTGAGGGCTTTACCTAGTTGACATGAAGTAGCACGGATGATAGGAGGATGGAAAACAGAAAGGATGGAAGAGCGAACAAACTAGCGGAGGAAAATGGAAAACGAGTAGAATATAAGAAAAACCACCAAAAAACAAACTATCACGGTTATAAGGGCATTCGTGAGTAGAGGTAAGCAGAAGGTGTGCACAAGAATACCTCGCAGGTAATGGTTCCCCACGGAAACAGCCGCTTATGGCGGCGGGGGGGCAAAGGTGCGCGGGGATAGGGAAGAAAGCTTACTACTAATTAACTCCAATAAGAAAAGAGGTAGTCGCTCACCGACAAAGAGATAGCAAGAGTTGTGGGAGTGGTTGGCAGTAAGGCAGTCGTAAGTGCTAAGACCAGGAAGACGCACGGCCAGGAACAAGCACGACCAGGAAGAAAAAAAAATTCGACAAGTTAATTAAATATCATTTTTATTGTTAAATCTTCTTAGCTTTGTAGCGCAATGGTTTCGATGGTGTCGGTAGTTGGAAAGGGTGGGAGATCGATTCTCTTTGGAGTTGCAATTTTATTTCAACTGACAAAATGCCAGCTCCGTTACTGTTCGAAGTACACTTAACCCATCAATGTTGAATGATATGATAAAACACAAAACTAATAGCACTGTGGGATTAACTAAATGTGAAACTTTTCTCTTCAGCATTTTTCCTCACTCTTTGGTATCAAAATGCGAAGAGCTAAACAACTTCCCATATTTGTTTCAATTAAAAAAAAGAACAATTCCAAAAAAAATTAATGCAACATAGATATACATAAGAATATTAATTCAAAATATGCATAGATCAAGAAGGTCCGCAACCCTAAGACGATTTCGTCGCCTCTTGTTCCTCTTAATTTGGTGTTGAGAGGATCTTATAGCCGGCAGCCCAAATTGCACAAGTTTTAAAAGGTTGACGCGAGGGGGTTTTTGTGGTGAGGGTTTTGGCGAAAGATTCCGATTTCGCTTTTTTCGTTTTTTTCGCCAAACCCAGCCCGCCCTCGTATTTCGCCCTGGGGGTTGGTTCAGTTCCCAAAAGTCCCAAATTGCAGGCACGCTTTTCTTCAAACCTTGAAAACACTAGTTCGTCAAGTTTTAAAAGCTTGACCCGCGCGGCCCGCAATTTGGGACTCGGGCTTTATGTGCCTGGATTCATTTGTCTTGTACAGCTGAAGAAGCTACAATGGCGATCGCCAGCAGAACTCTCCCATCGATCAGGCCGTCCCAGCTCCACCACACAAGCCAGGTCTTGGGATTGCAAAATTTCAGAATATGGTGTGCACTAGTTTATTCCACGTGGCTTTTCTTTTCCATGCTGGCTAGCCTGCCTGCCCGGCTGGCAAACAAATACCCACTTTCTATTCAAGTCGCAGACGCGACCCCAATCTCGAGGTTCTAGCACCCAAGATTGGCTGGTCACCGCACTCCACCCACCCTAGTTACATCGCCACCTCGCGAACCCGCATTCACACCTGCAGTCTGAATGTTTATGGGGCCTGTTTATTATCGGCTTCATGCTTCGTGCTGTTCGACACATTCTTCAGAAAAGCATTGGCAACTGCTGTGAAGGTTTTCGCTGAGTCGCGGCAACCTATTCCGCCATGGCGAGCGGCACGGTGAATCCGACGGCACTGAAAGCCCCAGCTCCCGTAGGCTTGCCGATCGCGTCGCGCGCTGAAGGCCGCGGCAAGAGTCGATCGCGGCGTGGTGTTGGCGTGAAGATCCCGTCGGGCTTCCCCCAAAGCCACTCGATCGCAAAAGCCTCACCGTTTTCGTCCAGATCTGTTGATTCTTTGTATGGCATCTATCCCGGTCGATTATCTGGTAATCCGGTAATTCCTAGGCCGGCAGCAGCGGGTGCTGATAACGTTTGGCGGCTGTACACGTCAGATCCATCCAATGGCGAGGACAATGAGCCCTTAAAATCAGCCGTAACAAGCAGTGGCGAAGAAGTTTCGCCGACGACTGTCGGGAAAGCGCAGCCGGGGGAAGCGCAGGGGGGAAAAGCGCAGCAGGGGAAAGCTCAGCGAAACCGAGCGTACAGACTCATGCAGCCAATGCAAATGACCCCGAGGCCTCACCGTCCACTCTCGAGAGCGCCCCTGCTTCACCGGGTTCTTCTGGTTCCGCAGCCGCCGTGCGAGGCTCCGAATCGCCTCTTAGCGCGCTGCGCGTTATGTTGGAAGTTGCGGAGCAAGAACTAGCAACGGCTCGGGACCGGTCTCTAGCCGCCGAGGTCGAGGCGCAGCGCGTTGCGGAACGAGCGATTGAGCTGAAAGACGCGGCTGTTGCGGCGGAGAACGCGGTGGATGAGGTGCTGCGTGACGTGGAAGCTGAGCTGGCTGTCGAAGTGGCAGCGCAAAAGGCGCTGAACGCTGCTGATGCGGCGTTTGTTGCGCAAGAGGTGGCGGCGACGGCGGCGGAAGCTGAATTGCGCGCAGCGCTGCTAGAGTTCGTCAATAGAGAGGGCGAAGCGGGAAGGTCAGAGGAGGAAGGCGGCCTGGGGGGCGCGGATCCGGGAACAGGCGCTGCGGGGAAGCCTTCTGCGGAAAAAGTTACCGCGGAAAGGGTAGACGCGCTGAAGGCGTCGGTGAAAGAGGCGCAGGAGTTGCTGCAGGCGCGCAGGGAGGAGCTGCGCACGCGGCGGGAGGCGCTGACGCAGGTGCTTGCGCGCAAGGAGCGGTTGCTGCAGCTGGCTGCGGAGCGGGCGGAGCGCGCGGGGGAGGCCCGGAGGTTGGCGCAGGAGGCGGAGGAGCGCGCGGCTGCGAGCATGGCGGCGGCAGAAGAGGCGGTGGCGGGGGAGGTGGAGGCGAATAGGCGAGTGTCGGACGCGAGCAAGGCAATCAGCCGGGCGGAGAAGCTGAGCAAAGATATTGCCAAGGTATGGCGGAAATGGCAGAAAAGATGGCGACGTTCTTAGAAACTTCGGGAATCTAAGCGATGAGGTGGATGGGCAGACGCGTATGCGTGGATAGCTCTTGATGCACGTCATAATTAGATTCTTTCTCAAATTTCTCAACGTTCTATGATTGATTTGTTCCATCGAAACCCCAAATCCCTGGGTTCAGGCAAGGGAGAAGGCGGCGCTGCTGACGGTAGAGAAGGAGGCGCTGCTGGCCAATGAAGTGGCTCGGGCGTCTGCTGCGCTGGCATCTACAGTGAAAGAGGGCAAGGCCGCAGCCAAGGAGATGCTGCCACGTGGCACCCCTGCTGCAGCTGATTCCGCTGGTGGTTCTGACGCCGCTTCTCCTGGTATCGTCAGCACTGCTGCTTCTAGCGGTGCTGCTGCTACAGCGGCTACAGCTGGTGGGGTGGCAGCAGGTGGGGTGGGCGGGGAATTGGGCGGCAATGCTGCAGCAGGTGCAGCTGAGGCGGTTGTGGGGGCGGATGGGGGCAGGGGGAAGGGGGAGGAGCGCGAGGAGGAGGCATTCAAGGGGGGAAGTGCGGTACAGAGTGGTGGTGGGGAGTCGGGGAAGGAAGGAGGGGAGGCAGTGCCTGCTGCTGCGAGCAACGGTGGGGTGACGAGTGCAGGTAGCAGTACCGCGACTGCTGCTGCTGGGCCTGTGGGAAAAGTCCCAGGGGAAGGGAATGGGGTGGCACGTGTCAGCCTGGAATTGGACAAGGCAGGGGCGGTGGAGATAGATGGGGGAGAGGTGGAATCGCCTGATGCAGCTCCGGCTGCAGTCCCAGCAGCAGCAGCAGCCTCAGGATCCGCACCAACTCCCAAATCTGGCTCATCATCATCATCAGCAGGAGCATCATCAGCATCAGCAGGAACATCATCAGCATCATCAGCAGGAGCATCATCAGCATCAGCAGGAGCAGCTTCAGGAATGTCCAAGCCCAAAAAGTCCTCCCGCTGGGTCTCCGCATCCTTCTTCTCTGCTCCAGATGACACCTCCACCGCCGCAGGTGCCACCTCCCCCTGGGCGTGGCTGCAGAGCGCCCTCCCCCGCGCGCTCGCCTCCCTCAGAAGGCACCTCCCAAAGGCCGTGGTGGCGTTTGTCGTTTTGCTGCTGGGGTGCGTGGCGCTGAACGCGCGCATGGAGAAGCGGGCGGCGCAGAGAGGACAGCACGTGCCGCCCGTGACGATGGCTGTTATGGAGGTGGAGCAGAAGGCGGTGCGGCCGCTAGTGGCGGAGGTGCAGCGGGTGGGCATGAGGGTGAGGGAGATGGTGGAGAAAATGCCCAAGCATGAGCCCAACGAGGAGGAGGCGTCGCTGTATGATGTGCTCTGGCTGCTGCTCGCTAGCGTCGTGTTCGTCCCCGCATTCCAGAAGCTGCCTGGAGGTGAGTTGGGAGCGGTGGTGAGTGGTGGTGAGCGGTGGTGAGCTGGCCCTATGCTTATGAGACCCCGTCAATCCGCTTGCACCACTGAGTGCTTGCCCCTGTGCGTTTCTCCCTCTCCGCACTCCTCCTTCCATCTCTCTCCCTCCTGCTCTCCGCACACCTCAGGCAGCCCCGTGCTGGGCTATCTAGCAGCGGGCGCCCTGATCGGGCCGTACGCGCTGTCAATCATAAAGCACGTGCACGGCACCAAGGCACTTGCAGAGTTCGGAGTGGTCTTCCTCATGTTCAACATCGGCCTCGAGGTCAGCCAGTCCTGCTCTCTCTTGCGCGCGTTGAATGGGAGTTGGGTGCCGTTCCTGCTCTGGACGTCAGTTGTTTGTGCTCTCTCTTCCTCCTCTCCTCCCTCCTCTCCTCCCTCCTCTCTCCACTCCTCTTTCCTCTCTCTTTTCTATCATTCGCCCAATCAACTCCCTCACGTACCTTCACCCATCTCACCCCAATTGCCTCTTCCCTGCCACCCCTTCCCACCCGCCATCACCGTCACAGCTGTCGCTGGAGCGACTCAACTCCATGCGCAAATACGTCTTTGGCCTTGGCTCTGCTCAGGTACGCCCTTGGCTCTGCTCAGGTACGCCCTTGGCTCTGCTCAGGTATGGCCTTGGCTCTGCTCAGGTACGTCAGCCTCCTTTCGAGGTTCCTAAATATGTCGGCCTTGGCTCCGAACAGTCAGGCCAGCCTCCGCTCCGCCATGCTTTGGCTCTGCACATGCATCCCTCTCCCTCCGGTACAGCCCTGCAGCCCTATTGCCCTACATGGCTCTCCGGTGGAATCCTTAGCTTTAGCGGTCACTTGTTACCATCTACGTCTCCTTGCTTCCTTTCCTTTCTTTCCTGACCTCCAGAACCTGACCTCCAGAACCTGACCTCCAGAACCTGACCTCCAGAACCTGACCTCCAGAACCTGACCTCCAGAACCTGACCTCCAGAACTTACCTCCAGAACCTGACCTCCAGAACTTACCTCCAGAACCTGACCTCCAGAACTTACCTCCAGAACCTGACCTCCAGAACCTGACCTCCTGAACTTACCTCCAGAACTTACCTCCAGAACCTGACCTCCAGAACCTGACCTCCAGAACCTGACCTCCAGAACCTGACCTCCAGAACCGGACCTCCAGAACTTTCCTACAGAACCTGACCTCCAGAACCTGACCTCCAGAACTTACCTCCAGAACCTGACCTCCAGAACCTGACCTCCAGAACCTGACCTCCAGAACCTGACCTCCAGAACCTGACCTCCAGAACCTGACCTCCAGAACCTGACCTCCAGAACCTGACCTCCAGAACTTACCTCCAGAACCTGACCTCCAGAACTTACCTCCAGAACCTGACCTCCAGAACTTACCTCCAGAACCTGACCTCCAGAACCTGACCTCCAGAACCTGACCTCCAGAACTTACCTCCAGAACCTGACCTCCAGAACCTGACCTCCAGAACCTGACCTCCAGAACCTGACCTCCAGAACCTGACCTCCAGAACCTGACCTCCAGAACCGGACCTCCAGAACTTACCTCCAGAACCTGACCTCCAGAACCTGACCTCCAGAACCTGACCTCCAGAACTTACCTCCAGAACCTGACCTCCAGAACTTACCTCCAGAACCTGACCTCCAGAACCTGACCTCCAGAACCTGACCTCCAGAACCGGACCTCCAGAACTTACCTCCAGAACCTGACCTCCAGAACCTGACCTCCAGAACCTGACCTCCAGAACTTACCTCCAGAACCTGACCTCCAGAACCTGACCTCCAGAACCTGACCTCCAGAACTTACCTCCAGAACCTGACCTCCAGAACCTGACCTCCAGAACCTGACCTCCAGAACCTGACCTCCAGAACCTGACCTCCAGAACTTACCTCCAGAACCTGACCTCCAGAACCTGACCTCCAGAACCTGACCTCCAGAACCTGACCTCCAGACCCTGACCTCCAGAACTTACCTCCAGAACCTGACCTCCAGAACCTGACCTCCAGAACCTGACCTCCAGAACTTACCTCCAGAACCTGACCTCCAGAACCTGACCTCCAGAACCTGACCTCCTGAACTTACCTCCAGAACTTACCTCCAGAACCTGACCTCCAGAACCTGACCTCCAGAACCTGACCTCCAGAACCTGACCTCCAGAACCTGACCTCCAGAACTTACCTCCAGAACCTGACCTCCAGAACCTGACCTCCAGAACCTGACCTCCAGAACTTACCTCCAGAACCTGACCTCCAGAACCTGACCTCCAGAACCTGACCTCCAGAACCTGACCTCCAGAACCTGACCTCCAGAACTTACCTCCAGAACCTGACCTCCAGAACCTGACCTCCAGAACCTGACCTCCAGAACCTGACCTCCAGAACTTACCTCCAGAACCTGACCTCCAGAACCGGACCTCCAGAACTTACCTCCAGAACCTGACCTCCAGAACCTGACCTCCAGAACCTGACCTCCAGAACTTACCTCCAGAACCTGACCTCCAGAACCTGACCTCCAGAACCAGACCTCCAGAACTTACCTCCAGAACCTGACCTCCAGAACCTGACCTCCTGAACTTACCTCCAGACCTTTCCTCCAGAACCTGACCTCCAGAACCTGACCTCCAGAACCTGACCTCCAGAACTTACCTCCAGAACCTGACCTCCAGAACCTGACCTCCAGAACCTGACCTCCAGAACTTACCTCCAGAACCTGACCTCCAGAACTTACCTCCAGAACCTGACCTCCAGAACTTACCTCCAGAACCTGACCTCCAGAACTTACCTCCAGAACCTGACCTCCAGAACCTGACCTCCTGAACTTACCTCCAGAACTTACCTCCAGAACCTGACCTCCAGAACCTGACCTCCAGAACCTGACCTCCAGAACCTGACCTCCAGAACCGGACCTCCAGAACTTTCCTACAGAACCTGACCTCCAGAACCTGACCTCCAGAACTTACCTCCAGAACCTGACCTCCAGAACCTGACCTCCAGAACCTGACCTCCAGAACCTGACCTCCAGAACCTGACCTCCAGAACCTGACCTCCAGAACCTGACCTCCAGAACCTGACCTCCAGAACTTACCTCCAGAACCTGACCTCCAGAACTTACCTCCAGAACCTGACCTCCAGAACTTACCTCCAGAACCTGACCTCCAGAACCTGACCTCCAGAACCTGACCTCCAGAACTTACCTCCAGAACCTGACCTCCAGAACCTGACCTCCAGAACCTGACCTCCAGAACCTGACCTCCAGAACCTGACCTCCAGAACCTGACCTCCAGAACCGGACCTCCAGAACTTACCTCCAGAACCTGACCTCCAGAACCTGACCTCCAGAACCTGACCTCCAGAACTTACCTCCAGAACCTGACCTCCAGAACTTACCTCCAGAACCTGACCTCCAGAACCTGACCTCCAGAACCTGACCTCCAGAACCGGACCTCCAGAACTTACCTCCAGAACCTGACCTCCAGAACCTGACCTCCAGAACCTGACCTCCAGAACTTACCTCCAGAACCTGACCTCCAGAACCTGACCTCCAGAACCTGACCTCCAGAACTTACCTCCAGAACCTGACCTCCAGAACCTGACCTCCAGAACCTGACCTCCAGAACCTGACCTCCAGAACCTGACCTCCAGAACTTACCTCCAGAACCTGACCTCCAGAACCTGACCTCCAGAACCTGACCTCCAGACCCTGACCTCCAGAACTTACCTCCAGAACCTGACCTCCAGAACCTGACCTCCAGAACCTGACCTCCAGAACTTACCTCCAGAACCTGACCTCCAGAACCTGACCTCCAGAACCTGACCTCCTGAACTTACCTCCAGAACTTACCTCCAGAACCTGACCTCCAGAACCTGACCTCCAGAACCTGACCTCCAGAACCTGACCTCCAGAACCTGACCTCCAGAACTTACCTCCAGAACCTGACCTCCAGAACCTGACCTCCAGAACCTGACCTCCAGAACTTACCTCCAGAACCTGACCTCCAGAACCTGACCTCCAGAACCTGACCTCCAGAACCTGACCTCCAGAACCTGACCTCCAGAACTTACCTCCAGAACCTGACCTCCAGAACCTGACCTCCAGAACCTGACCTCCAGAACCTGACCTCCAGAACTTACCTCCAGAACCTGACCTCCAGAACCGGACCTCCAGAACTTACCTCCAGAACCTGACCTCCAGAACCTGACCTCCAGAACCTGACCTCCAGAACTTACCTCCAGAACCTGACCTCCAGAACCTGACCTCCAGAACCTGACCTCCAGAACTTACCTCCAGAACCTGACCTCCAGAACCTGACCTCCAGAACCTGACCTCCAGAACTTACCTCCAGAACCTGACCTCCAGAACTTACCTCCAGAACCTGACCTCCAGAACTTACCTCCAGAACCTGACCTCCAGAACCTGACCTCCTGAACTTACCTCCAGAACTTACCTCCAGAACCTGACCTCCAGAACCTGACCTCCAGAACCTGACCTCCAGAACCTGACCTCCAGAACCGGACCTCCAGAACTTTCCTACAGAACCTGACCTCCAGAACCTGACCTCCAGAACTTACCTCCAGAACCTGACCTCCAGAACCTGACCTCCAGAACCTGACCTCCAGAACCTGACCTCCAGAACCTGACCTCCAGAACCTGACCTCCAGAACTTACCTCCAGAACCTGACCTCCAGAACTTACCTCCAGAACCTGACCTCCAGAACTTACCTCCAGAACCTGACCTCCAGAACCTGACCTCCAGAACCTGACCTCCAGAACTTACCTCCAGAACCTGACCTCCAGAACCTGACCTCCAGAACCTGACCTCCAGAACCTGACCTCCAGAACCTGACCTCCAGAACCTGACCTCCAGAACCGGACCTCCAGAACTTACCTCCAGAACCTGACCTCCAGAACCTGACCTCCAGAACCTGACCTCCAGAACTTACCTCCAGAACCTGACCTCCAGAACTTACCTCCAGAACCTGACCTCCAGAACCTGACCTCCAGAACCTGACCTCCAGAACCGGACCTCCAGAACTTACCTCCAGAACCTGACCTCCAGAACCTGACCTCCAGAACCTGACCTCCAGAACTTACCTCCAGAACCTGACCTCCAGAACCTGACCTCCAGAACCTGACCTCCAGAACTAACCTCCAGAACCTGACCTCCAGAACCTGACCTCCAGAACCTGACCTCCAGAACCTGACCTCCAGAACCTGACCTCCAGAACTTACCTCCAGAACCTGACCTCCAGAACCTGACCTCCAGAACCTGACCTCCAGAACCTGACCTCCAGACCCTGACCTCCAGAACTTACCTCCAGAACCTGACCTCCAGAACCTGACCTCCAGAACCTGACCTCCAGAACTTACCTCCAGAACCTGACCTCCAGAACCTGACCTCCAGAACCTGACCTCCTGAACTTACCTCCAGAACTTACCTCCAGAACCTGACCTCCAGAACCTGACCTCCAGAACCTGACCTCCAGAACCTGACCTCCAGAACCTGACCTCCAGAACTTACCTCCAGAACCTGACCTCCAGAACCTGACCTCCAGAACCTGACCTCCAGAACTTACCTCCAGAAC